GTTCTGGGCTCCCCAGTTCAAGAAAGATGAGGAGCTACTGGAGAGAGTCCAGCAGAGGGCTATGAGGATGATGAGGGGACTGCAGCATCTCTCCTATGAGGAAAGGCTGAGGGAGCTGAGCTTGTTTAGCCTGGAAAAGGCTGAGAGGGGACCTTCTAAATGCCTATAAATATCTTCAGGGTGTGTGTCAGGAGGATGGGCCCAGACTCTTTTCAGTGGTGTCCGGCCGCAGGACAAGGGGCAACGGGCACAAACTGAAGCACAGGAAGTTCCATCTGAACATGAGGAAGAACTTCTTTACTTTGAGGGTGATGGAGCACTGGAACAGGTTGCCCAGAGAGGTTGTGGAGTCTCCTTCTGTGGAGATATCCAAGATCCACCTGGACAAGGTCCTGTGTAACCTGCTCTAGGTGACCCTGCTTCGGCAGGGGAGGTTGGACTAGATGATCCCCAGGGGTCCCTTCCAACCTCTACCATTCTACGATTCCGTAAATATTTCATCCCTAATGACAAGTTTACATAATCCCTTAAGTAAAGCATGCTCGGTCAGCACAACTACCTGATTTCTTCAGAACAGAAAGAGTAATCTCTGTTATCATCTGTCTTAGTAATTTTTAGTGCATCACCTTTCACTGATGCAAGATAAGGTAATGGGAATTGATATCATAAGCATTTTTTTTTGCCATAGTATGTTTCCTTGCCAACTTCTCAATTAATCTTAACTTGCTAGTGTTCACTAAAAAGTCCTAAATCTCTGCAGCTGGCTTCTGATCAGAGGAGAACACAACATGCAACCTAAGCAAACACAAAAATTTTGGCCTAAAACAGAGAACATTTTTTTCTAAACAATTTTTGTATGGGTTTAGAAGAAATCCTCCTAATCTCAGTGGAGTTCAGCGACTTCTTCATTGCCAGCGGTCCCTTAGACATGGGCTGTCAGAGTGTGAGTAGTGCAAGCCACATGAGGCATGACTGCATGAGAATTTGATACGGAGTGGAGAAGGCAGGGAATGGCAGTGAGAGTGCCTGTTGCCTTAGGATTACGAAAGAAAGATGATTTGTGAAATGTGATCTGTTTCCTACCAATGTAAATAAATAAATTAGATACAGTAGCAATGAAAACCAATGGCTCAAGCCAAGAGGGAAAGGGGCAGTCAGAGCAAAGGAGAAAGTCAAGTATGAAGCAGCTTGTGTTAGCTAGGAACAGCAGCAGAAAGTATATGAAGTTATCTACTGAAAAAAGGCTGCAGGGATTATAAGGCTCATTGCTGTCACCATTACCATTCTCCAGGTTTTCACTGCTTTCGTAGCAGCCAGAATCCCGTGGAGAGCATCCGGTTAGGCCTTGGCCTTCGACGAGAAGTTTCTCCTGAGATCCTGACTGGTCGCTGTTACCTAGAGGATGCAAGAACACAGTGAAAAACACGCAAACAGAGAACCCAGCTGAACTTCTCAGCCTTCCATTTGCAACACCATTATCTTGCATGTCCAAAGAAGGGCAACGAAGCTGGTGAAGGGCCTAGAGCACAAGTCTTATGAGGAGTGGCTGAGGGAACTGGGGTTGTTTAGTCTGGAGAAAAGGAGGCTCAGAGGAGACCTTATTGCTCTCTACAACTACCTGAAAGGAGATTGTAGCGAGGTGGGTGTCCATCGCTTCTCCCAAGCAACAAGTGATAGGACAAGGAGAAATGGCCTCTAGTTGCACCAGGGGAGGTTTAGATTGGATACTGCAAAAAATTTCTTCACTGAAAGGGTTATCAGGCATTGGAACTGGCTGCCCAGGGAAGTGATGGAGTCACCATCCCTGGAGCTATTTAAAAGACGTATAGATGTGGTGCTAAGGGAACATGGTTTAGTGGTGGACTTAGCAGTGCTAGGTTAATGGTTGGACTCGATGATCTCAAAGGCCTTTTCCAACCAAAATGATTCTATGATTCTATGTTCTTCCCTGTTGTACTAATTATTATCAGATCAATGTTCTAGAAAAGAGTAAGCGTTAGGAACAGCCATCACAGATGTTGAAAACATTTATCCCGTTCGGTGAAGGATTAAGCAACAGCCTCAGTACGAGTGTGAGGGAGCAGTGTGGTACATAATGCAAGCAGAATGGACCACGCGTATGCCTTAGCTTCCTTGGGGCCAAGTCCTGCAACTGATAACCATGGAAATTTATTTAAAATGATGGTGTCAAAGTTCTTTCCAAGACTTAAAAAACCCCCAACACCCAAAACAAAAGCAAAAAACACTGAAAATAACCAAGTCGAGAAGAATAAAATTCTAACCGTGACCTACTTTCCAGAAGGTACCAAGAGGAAGGATCAGGAGTTGGCCTGGCAAAGTTAGGTACTGTCCCCTAACGAAGGGGAAGGGACAAGGGAGAGACTAGTGGTAAAAATTCCTTCCTTCCTTGGTTTGTGCAAAGAGACAACACTCAAGTGTGGCCCATCCAGGCTGCACAGGCTGGATTCCACGAATTCACTCAAAGTTTGTTCAGAAATTATATTTTGTAAAGAAACTAAATCAGGAGCTGAGGATACAGAAAACCAACTTTGCGATGCAAGGATACAGTTTATGCTGTGTTTTATTCCCCTGCAATAAAACATCAGAAATGGCTATTCCAATTCCTATTCTTGGCACATGAAAGGTAATTATGGGGTGGAACTAAGTGTTGGTGCCCCTCCCAGCTTCCATCTGTTTGGTCCCCACTTCTCTTTCTCCTCATCGCCCTGACCTGGAGCTGGAATTTATACTTTCCAACCACCACACCACATAGTTCTTTCTTCAAGTTTTCAAACCAAAATTGAAGGTCCCTAAAAATAATTATTACTTCAGGGAAGTGAGCATTCTAAACAGGTCTGCAAATAATGAAGAGAAACTCATATTAGGTGACAAAAAGCTACTCTGCTATAAGTGAAAAGAATCTAGTTCTGCAACTGCAGTTTTACTGCGGGATAGAAGAGGGCAGAGAAAGTGTGGATGCCTCTTTGGGAAACGAAATGAACAAGAAAGCTACAGTTCAGTGAAAGCTCAGGCCACCCAGCACTGTCCAGAGACTAGCCATACATCTCTCTATAACAGAATTAAGCACTGCCCACTTAATAAGCAGCTATTTTAATTGCTGCCATGGCAGTTTATGCGAAAACATAGGATTTTGCACAGAAGCAGCTGAGAAAGCCCCCACTCAGTCCATTCCACTGATTCTGCTTGGTGGGACATTAAACTTCTGCTGACACTTAGGGACAAAGGGGAGATTCAGTACTGTCTTAGGTTGCTGCAACTAGGTATTGAGTGCGTCTGAATTCCTGTCACAAGCTACACTTGCTTTTCAAATGGCTCTACTCTACCATGACTCTACCATGACTACTGTGTGGACAGTACAGCCCCGTTACCTCCTGTGCGGCTTACATGAACAAAAGAATTCTGGCAGAACAAATGCAAGTCTTAAGTCACTCCTCAAAAATCTACACTTTGTTACAGAGGATTACCCTGGAAATAACTAGATTAGAAAAAAAGAAAGATCAAAATGCTGGAACCGGTTTTCTGCTTTAAAGGGTTCACAAGGTTCTTGGCAGATCTCTAGTAAAACTGAAAACCTCAAACATCCCACGTACTATCATACTCCTGTAGAAGTTCCACTGCTGTGAGGAGAACAGCTCTGTGCTCAGGATCTCGGATGTTCAGTTCATCCAAATCTTCTTCTTCTAAAAGCTTAAAGGTATCCAGATCTTCATAACCATTGAACAGAAAAGTAGGCATGTGCTCCTGCATAAAAGGAAGAAAAAGAAAAAAAAGAAGAGCTGTAAGACAACATATTTATTCAACTTCTTTTGTCAATAAAGATACTAGAAGAGATTTTCACAACCAATAAAAAAAGCAGTAGTTTAGCAAATGCAAATCACTGTATAACAGCAAAATTATAGGATTATAGCTTGTACAAACATTGCTCAGAGTTCAGGGAGGTAGCTGTGTCAGAACTAGAATGCTGCATGTATTTTTTTTGTATTTGAAATGCACTGTATTAAATGGCCTGGGTAGCATGCTACCCTGACGCACAGTATGGCACAGGTCTACATGAAGGGAGATGTACGACGAGTGAATGACAGCTGCACCAGTTTATCCCTAGCTTTTCCGAACAAAAACGTGGAAGAAACCTTCCTCTTTAAAGACAGGGTAACTACTGCTATTTTACACTTTTTGCTTGCTTTTGAAGTGTGCTAGCCAGTAGCCATACTATGCAATGACAGTGCATACAACTTGCAGCCTGCAGCACTTCATCAAACCTGACAGGCAGTTTTGCCTGGCCTCAGCTATTTTCACTCTGCAGCTAAGACCTGATTCTCCTAAGTGGTGTCACGATCCTTAGGATTATGAATCTGGTGTGCAGCTTTCAAAACTAAGAGCTCCAAAGGTGTGGCCTCCTTCCCACAAGCAAAACCGAAGGGTGAACAGAAAGAGAGAATTCGGACCTTTAAGTTGATGCGATCCAAGAGATCCTCAACTGACTTGGGCTGGGGCGGTCTGCTTTTCCGGCGTCTCCTGGTGGGCCGCTTCGGCTTCTCTTCCTCTTCATTTAACACGTCCACATAGATGAATTTGAAAGTGCCAACTTTGTTGTTCAACAAGCCCATCCAAGTGCCCATGGGGGGTTTGCTGATTATATCAATGATGTCACCTTTCTGCAGACCAAAGAAGCAAGAAAGCCATTCAGGCATGCTTTCTGCTGGGTATTCCAGCAAACATACCCACTTTCTCTTAGATTTTCATATACACCAAATGGACAACACTCTTGAGTTTTCAATAGGTTAACCACAGCTTTTGCAAAAAACGACTGATTATTCTTGTTTTACAAATTGAAGAAAAGGGGATGAAGTGACATGCCTAAGAACACAGAGCAAGTCAACAAAAGAGCCTGGAATGGACCCCAACTGTCCAGATTCGCAAACCTGTTTACATCCCAGTAATACATCACTGCTGTTTCATACAAATGTTTCTAAGCTGTGCAACTATCTGAAATTGGTGCAAATAAGAACATGCTCAGTGTATATGGGCACAAGCTCACATCATATCTACTGAGGAAATGAGGCATACGTGGAAGAAACCATACAACACCATTGCTTTTCTAACACGCTCCTGACCACAACAAAGCAATGGACGCACAATTGGTTTTGTGTACTCAAAGAGATTACCTTACATGCATCTGCTTTAATAGGAATTGTCTACCCTTGGAATTTTAAGTAACAAATGTAGGTATTTAGATAGTTTGAATCAAATATAGCACAACTAAAAATAATAAAGGCTGATATCCAGAAAAATTAAAGGGGAGTGACAACTCACAGTCAGCAAAGTAATTCAGCTTTGGCTCAAAACAAGTTATATTAACTGAAATGCCTTTAATAGACACTATGCGTACGCATATCCACATTTCGTCCAAGGACTTGGAAAATTTTTCCACTGATGGATTAATTCATTGTGGCAGATAAAGTATTTTTCCAATCTATCAAACAAAATCCTTGCAAAATGGAAATGAATTTGTGGCACATTTTTATTTTTCCAGAAACTAAAGACGCAAGTGTCTTTCCCTGGACTTGGAGAAATACTAATACTTATGCTCCACAACATTTTGCTGTAATTCAGGCAAATCTTAAATGTATCAGAAGAAGATAGCTTAAAAGGCTTCAGAAAACAAATGTAAACTCATTAAAAGACTAAGAATTGTACTGTTCTTGCAATGAGCTCTGAATTAAGAATTTTGCCAGAATAGATGTTTGACCCCTTAAAAACAGTTATAGCTGGTACCTTGAGCTTCAGAGAGTCTGTATCATAAGGACTTGGAGTAAAATCAGTGTGAACCCTGGCTCTTCCACAAAAAGGTCCTCTGTAAGGAGGCTCTTCATCATCACCATCTTCTGATTTCACACTCTCCCTGTTGCTTGTTGAGGAATCTGTTGTGCTCACCGTCTGACCACCTGTGTGAGAGACATAGTATTAGTCCACAAAAAAGAATCTCCTTGCGAAGGTTCAGAAACAAATAGAGGCAAGACAGAAAATGGGTCTTCTTTCTACAAAATATGGTAATCAAAGTTAAAAGTCCTTAAACGCTGCTATTTCTTATATACACATGTGATGGCTGAGTTAGCTAAGCCACTTTGCACTCCTGTTTTCCCAAATTCAGCTCCTCGTTATTTAACTGAGAGGCTGTTTAACTAATGTCTCATCTATGGTACATCACAGGAGACATCATCTTTCTAGGAAGTTTTTCCCAGAAAAAAGCACAGTGGTGTGAGGAAAATTAGCTGTGAATCCTGCATGAGGGTTCCAGAATCCCTCTCATGTCCAGAAATCTGGTTTTTATGGCAACACTTTGTATTGACGTTACAAAAAAAAAACCAAACCCAATCAGGGCTCTGTATAAACACGGAGCAATACCGTCTCGGCACCAAACGGCTCTTTGCAAACCCTTAATGACTAATCCATCAGCCTTTCTACTTTTTAACCACTGCTTCTGCTTTGACTTTCTCTGATTGTGCTTACTGTGGAGATCTCGGCTCCCTGAACCCACAGAAGTGGAGCAACGCAATTACAACCAAACTTACTCATGGAGCTCTGACCGCTTAAGGAACTCCTCAGGCTCTCTACTGAGCCACCGGCTTTCAGCTTGGGCTTGTCCAGGGAGTCAGTGTCTGGCGGCGGCGACTGCGGAGAACCCGGCATGACCCCTGGGCTGGACTCCTGAAAGGGACGGAACCATTTCACTTCGGTAAACGGACACGCGCACTGGCAGGAGCTGCTTGTCCATCTCCAGGATGGAGAAAGGAAAGAGACTCCGTTTTCCTGCTCTTTATCAGACAGGGTGTCGGCTTCTATGTTTATCCACGAGTTTAGTGGTGGGCAGCTGTGGCAGAAACCCCATTTTACCAGGCACGACAGCGGGGAGCGGAGGCGTGTGCGTGACTTAGGCGGCTCGGCGCTCCCCTCGCCGCCGCCGAGCGGGGCAAAAAAAGGCGGGAGCAGGCCCGCGGAACGCCGCCGGCGCGCCTCAGGTGCGAACAAGCGATAAACCCCTGTAACGGAGGGGGAACTGGAGAACCCTCTGCGGGACGCCCCTTTCCGGCCGCGCTGTGAGTCCGCTTTAGCGGGCGGCCGCGGAGGGCAAGCTGCGATGGGGAGAAGGTCTGTCACGGCAGAGAGGAACCGCCTGCCTGGAGTTACGCCGGGAATTTAAACCAAGGTGCACACTGCAATTAAATATATTGCTGTGACCCCGTGTCACAGACCGGTTCCCTTAATAAGTAACAATGACGGATAAAGAAATGGAAGTAGAGAGCGAGACGTGTGATGCCACCAACCCCAGGCTTCTGCTGATGAGCTACCTGAATGAAAGCCTGAAAACGCATTTTCATGGTTTGGCATCTACAGAAGCCATTTCACAGCCAGGGATTTCATAAGAACGTAGGAATAAGCCACAGCACATAGCCTTGTCAGAAATTTCTTCAGAGATGACTTGGAGCACGGGAATCAATACTGGTTATCATTTCTACACTATTAAGTGCATTCCATCGCAGACCTCACGTACCTGCTCAGACAGAGAGCTGCTGTATTTTTTAGACATCCTTTTCTTCATGGTTTCTTTTACGGACTTCACCTTTTTTCCCAGAGATATACGGGAGGCAGAGGGTGATTTGATCACTTCTTTATAAACAAAGTCTCCTTCCTTGCCCTGCAGAATAAAACAGAGTTTAGGCCTACAAAACACAAGAGCCTTCATTTACCGCAGCCAGCAGTCCCTGCAGAGGTACCCCGGCAGGCATGGGACAGCAGCGCGGTGTCCCGTTCACAGCTCTAGATCCACCGTTGAGACCTTGTGCAAACCACTGCACCTTCCTCCCAAGGCCGGATCTGTAACCTGTTCTGCGGGTACCGTGTGTAGATGTGTTGGGGTCTGTTAGGATGCCTTTATTCCTTTGAGTTTCAGGTAAGTATCTGACCTGATAGAAAACTCCATGGTTCCAGGCTAAGTCCTCCTGATGGGACATACGACAGTAGCTGTGGCTCATGTTGGTCAATATTACGTACAGTTTAACAGGAGTAAAGGTACTGCCGAGATCCTAGCCAAATATATATCCGTGTGTGTATATATATATGGATACCTTTATTTGGCTACCCAAATTTACTTTTTATTTTCAGACAGGCATTCAGTTAACCTCTCTTGATGACTGTCTCTGTGGCTGTACTGTGGATTGTTTATAAAAAACACACAAAAAAGCTATGAAATCCATCAACCACGGTAGAAGGTTACACTTGCACAGCTATTCTTAAAGCACACAGCAGGGGACTGCCGAACTAAATTAGCTGGTCCATATATAGCGGACGACAAAGGGCAGCTGCTTTGAACGCATTTAACCTTTTCTAAACCAGCTTGAGATACCTAGCATTTACTCATGCCACAAGCACGCACAAAGAATGAACGTGGATCAGTTGACATTTTGCCAGACTTACTTGTGTGACTCAGCCCTCATTCAGATTGTCCCGGCAGCACATTAAACACGGTCTTTCATTCTACAGTGCGTCAGGAACCACAGCAAGGGAGCTCTGTTAGACCTACTACCAGCACCCTCCATTGCCCAGGGTGCACCAAAAATCACAACACAAAAAGGATCAAAATCTGTTTCGTCAAATAGATTGACTATTGAATTTGGTCTCTGACTTGGTTCAGTAATCTTTCTGAGGACAATATAGGGACATAAGGTAACAAACCCTAAAATAAGCGTACGCTATATTCTAAAGAAAAGATTTATCTTTTTTTCTAAATTCATGTATGTTTGCTATTTTACTAATGTCCCCCCCAAAAGCTCTGAAATTCAGCTGATACTTAATTTCTGACTATTCTGTATTTTTTCCTTTACAAGTTGCTTGTGATTAAAACTTTCTTGGTAACTTTTGGTCTTTTAGCAGAAGTTAGGGACGGCTCTTGGCCTTATCTTTTAGGAAAAAAACCTTCTACTTAATGGAATTACATGCTTTCAACAAAAAAAAAACACCCTTGATCTGCATACACTCCCACTACTGATGGTAGTAAGGAAAAATGTAACATCTAGATGTCACACTTTTTTATACCAAAACCAATACAAAAACAAAATACGCCGAAGTGTCTACGTTTAAAGATAAACACTGTATGTTTGGAAGTTAACTTTTTTACTGAATTGAAAATTGATGAATAAAATAAAACACCCACAGTTTTGGCCAATTTAGGGGTAATTTATGATTTAAAAAGAAGATCAGGAAAAACAAGAACAACGTCAAAAAACCCAGCTCACATAAAAAAAATATAATGCTGACATATAAAATGTTTCACAATTTAGACTTGATTTAAGTGAACAGAGAAGTTATCAGAGCCAATGTTGAAATAGAAAAGAAAAACATGTGTGGGCAAAAAGAAAAAATATGTTCATAATTTCATTTGATATAATGTTCTGGCTCATTTCTGTTCTGTAATTTTTGGCCACAGAGTGACCAACAGTAACACTGGGATCAACATGAGTAACATAAAATGGAATTAATTCTCAGGGGAGGTGGTGGCTTTTCTTAAACAAAAAGTGCTCTAAGATCAATTGCACAGCACCCAACACAATGGCATCCTGGTCTACTCCAGAGCTCTTAGATACAATGAGAAAACAAATAATAAATCTCTTGTGTAATGATTTCCACCCAAATAAGTTGCAGATCTTCAGCGAATGAAAGTTTGCCTCATCATTCCAAACAGTAAATATTCTTACCAAGAAAGTGTAGTAATCATATGTTTTGCCTGGGGTGATGCTCTGAGGAAGTCAGACGTAAGAATAGCCCACAGATGTGCCCCCAGATCTGCGCTTTGATCACTTGTTCCTGCCTCTTTACACACATGGTATATAAATACTTACACACATATGGATATGGGTGGGTATGTTATTCTCAAAGCTAAGGAAGTCTGAGGTTAACAGATACTCTGCTTTCTTGGATCCCCAAACTGTTATTACACACCCAAATTACACTTCAGTGTATTATAACTCTATTGCGCGTTTCATTTTAGGCTATTTCAAGTCTGCGCCTTCTTGTCTTAAACTCACCATTTGGTCAGAACTGTTTCCAATATGAAGGGAACGATTTGTCAAGTCAAATCCTCCAAAGCTACAGGTTCTCTGCAAAAAAAAAAGGATGGATACAGTTCTATCACAACGATTAGCTCACTCCAAGCAACTGTGATTTGGGCAACGCCAGTGAAAACAGAAATGTCTGCAAAAATGGAAACAAACAAACAAACAAAAGGATGGGAGATTATAAATCAAGATATCTGTTATAAAGCATTCTGAGTCATTTGTCTTTTCCAGAGACAACTCCTTGGCCTAAGTTCTGCTGCTGTTGAGTCATCTATTGCCTACTCTTCTTTTTAAAAAGAAAAAAAGACTTTTTGGTCCAAGGAAACTGTTGATCTTGTGCATCAAGTTTTCCAGGGTGCTGGCAACTCCACCCCAGCACTCCCATCTGCCTCCATAAATAAGTCCACAGTAGCACTGAAACAGAGAACCACCAATCTTTTAAGGCATTGAATAACCTACCTTCTGGGAACAGCTGCACAGATTCCATTTCCACTGAAATACAGGGAAACGCTAGAGGCCTCGCCGGGCAAGCCCTTGGTAACATGACGGAAAAGCCAGCTCAGCTGTCCATGAGCATCGTGTCCCCAGAGACTCAGCAAGCCCTGATTCCAGATCAGGTATTTATCGTAACACCTGTGGCGATATGCAGCAGCTCTGCTGCTTCTGGGAGAAAGTACGCTGTGTTTACAGTGCCACGATTGCCTAGCAGAGTGACTCAGTTTTGGCTGAATGCACAGATGCAGCTTATCGTAATCATCCTGAATAAAGAAATCAGCACTATGACACTGCTTCCCTCCCAAGAGCAGAGGGCAACCGAACTCAGTGCAGTTGCATTTCCACAGCCAACCATTGTTTAACTGTGGCAGACGAGTCTCTGCTAAAGCTTTGCCATCCCTTGAAAAACGACCAGATGCTTAGGGGGCTCAGAGAGAATCCAGCTTCTGCTTTGCAGTGCAAAAGGTAAAACCTCTGACTTCTTATTTGGCCGCTGAACAACCAGCAGCACAGTACTCAGGTACCTGGCCCTGCCTGAAGTCTCACAGGGTGCTCCAGGGAAATGAAGGCACGGCAGTTACAGTTTACTTGCACAACTTCAACTCTGGTCTCAGAGTGCAGGTTGTGAGACAGGCAGATGTCTTAACAAAGTATTCTCTTCAGAGCTACAGCTGAGACAAACAGGAGGCAGAAGATGAACACTTGTGAATCCTAAGTTCTTAGGGCCTGAACTACCCAACAGAGTAACTTCAAAGGCACCTTAAGACTCAGCTAAGCACTGGTCCAGAACTACAAAGGATTGCCCAGTCAGTACCGTGGGCGTGTACCTGGGAGTCAGCGAAGAATCACCACCTGACAACCACCAGTCTGCTTCGACACTCTGTTAGGAAGAAGCAAGGCCTATAAACTGTGCCATTTAATAAACAATTAGACCAATTAGTTCTATTAAAGTAAACACTCTTCCTGCCCTGTTCATTGCTAATGAGCATATGTATTAATAGCTTTTAAAAAAATCCTTTTTCTAGCTTTTATGTTTGGTGCTGTACACCTACAGTGCTCGGATGACGTTTTTGCACCCACCACAGCTCTACCAGAACTCAAAGCCAGCTTTGTCTAGGCCTCACACACATTAAAAAAAGAGTGCTGTGATGCAGATTTTTTTTTTAATTTTTTTTTTTTCCAGAGGGCAATGTGACAATAGCACAGCTTTTAAAAATTGTTTTTGGAAAGCATTTGAGACAAACCACAAGTAATTAGATCAGTTTTTAAAGCACAGCACATTTAGCTATGAGTAATGTTGTCCTTCTGTGATGAGTCCATTCTAACTAATCCTACAGCGTACGGTAATCCCAGCAGCGAAGAGAGGACATCTGGAACTGCTCTGAGCAAACCTGTCTGTCAAACCAGCCAGAGCTCCTCCTAAAACAGTCTTCTCAGAGAGCAAAATGTCTGTTGGTTAAAAGCTTCTGAATAAATGTACCATATTAAGGATGCTTATTGTTTCATTATGGACCTCCCTGTACATTTAACTTCCACCTTCAGATTCCAGTAGCAACCCTGGCAATTCTGTATCACACAGAAGGTCTGTGGATGAGGAGAGGGATATTCAATGGAATGGCCATGCAATCAAAAGTATTATCATTTTGGGAGAAAAGAAAAACTGATGCGATTTGAAAATTTCATGCATGTCCAGGTCACTGAAACAAATATAAATGACAAAAATGAATGGCAAGGCAAGACAGAGTGACCAATTCCACTGAATACATAGGCATTGCAGTTTCCCTGAGGTTGCAGCAAACAAATACTAAGCCTTTGTAGGAAGGAGGAGTGGCATTAGTTGAAGTCTGCCAGCTTTCTGTGGTTTCAGGAAGAAGCGTGTTGAAAAAACTAGTAAGAGCAGCACGTCTCCACCATTTGTCCTATTCAAACGAGGCTGGAGGAGCAGTTGACTGAGGAGTTCCTCAACAACAAGAAAATGCTATCCACTTCTTCTCTGATTGTATCTCTGTGAATAAGCAAAAGTCAGTCCAGATGGTTTTCATAATGAAATTACTATAGCGAGACTATGTATTAGAAGAACTGCAAAGCTTGTTTCTGTCATCTGTATTTACAAAGACCGTTTTAGAGGGTATTTTTAATTATGGGGCATCTCCAGCACACACGAGTATGATCTTTTGCCCGAGATACCCCTATTGTTCAACCCACAGAAGGACGAGCAAAGTGTCTCTTATTGTTGTGATATCCTTATGGGAAAACAATGTCTTTTGAGTGCAATGTCTGTGAAAATAAACAGTACCCTGTGAGTGGCAGGGCAAGCAGTCAATGCAGAAGAAATAGCGAAGCTGCCAAGAGAGAATGTTCATGGTACTGGGTAGAAAAAAACATACTGATTTTGTGGTTGCAGAGCAAAAAGTGAACCTTGAAGGCCTGGTCACCTCCCACAGGTTATTCAAGGAGACCAAGGCTGTGACTCCTGTATCGAGAATACCTCACACCTGAAGAAATGAAGAAGAGACCTCTCAACATAAAATCTGTACTTCAGGCAGAAAAGGTGTTCCTGCTGTATTGCTCACTGGAATATCTTGTGTAACGTTATGCGTGCACTGCTGTTTCCACCCACTGAAGCTGGGAACATATCTACATTGTCAACTAGACAGCAGAGCAGCTGGCTCAGCTCTGGAGATCTGGCTGGTCCCACGGGCAAGTTCCTAGGAAAGTCCGCATCATGGTTAAGGCAACTGTCAAAACTGGGTCATATAATCAGGAAGCAGCTTTGGATCTCTCTGGAGTGCTCAAATCACTTAAATTTCCCATTGTACAGTACAATTTCCTTTTCTGGCTACCCCTCATTCCCTTTCCACAATGTTCCGAGGGAAGGTGCCACCTTCATCCCATGCTAGAGAGAAGGAGCAGTGGCCAGGGACAGAGCAAAAGGGGCACTTCTGGTGGTGGTGAGCAGCAAGCAGGAGGGCAGTGTCTACACAAGGTAAAACTCCCTATCTTTCTGCAGCTGTGTGTGTAACGGAGAATAGAGCGCCAGATGGGTGAACCGATGAGCTGCAAACTGAGAAGCGGAGAGCCAATACGATGCAATGACAGCAGGAGAGAAACGGAGCACAGTGGACTAAGGATGCTCTAATCTCTGAAAATTTTGTTCATCTCTCGGTATCCCTTTAAGAGAATACCACCTCTCAAAGCATCACAAAGAACATGTTTATAGCATCTCAAAGCTTCACCAGTGATCTCAGTTTCTGCACTAGGTGAATTTAAAAAGGAGCAGTTTGTCATATTTGCTCTCTCTCATTATTCTGTACACATAGAAATGGCAGACTCAATAAAACTCTTCTCTGACGGGATTATATCAAACTCTCTTCCCTCACAGCTGAATTACAGTGTTTAAGAGCTTCTAATCGAAAGCAACAAAAGCAGAAGCACTGTTTTTTAGTTAAAAGTATAAAGCAGACAGTGTTGACTGCAACCTCACAGAAACTGGAAGACCACCTTCACAGCAACTCTTTGACTCACAGACTTTTGGTGGATTCTCAAGAGAACCCTTTTAGTACAGCGATCCACTGTGGCAGCCCACTTCCTCTTGGCCTCCTCATCCTCCTCCAGCAGACATCTCCTCAGGTCCTGCTTGTCGGCCTTGCTCAGGGTCCTGTCAGTAACGGGACGCACCAGCTGTGAGAGGCTGAGGTGACTGTACAGGCTTCTTTCCACCACATAGGTAATATTGAACTCGCTGACAGAAGCGCGCCCTCGTAGCCTTCTGTTTGGGAAGCCACAACCGCCACCCCCTTTCGTTTTGTGCCGCAGTAATTGTAGGTCGCAAGTTGCGGGGGATGCTCCTTTCCTAGCAGGGCGCTGGCAAAGAAAAGCTCTGCAACAGGAATAATTAGTATCCATTTTCTTCAACCGGATCTGCTTCCTTATACTCTGAATCTCCTCCAGGGACACCAGAAGATGGTGCTTGTGCCTGTTGCTGTCATAAAAGCAAATGCTTTCTGTACTTACCCCATGGCTCAGTGAGCCAAGGCTCTTCTTCATTTCCCCATCTGTCAAGGAGCGGCAAACTTTCTGGGTCTTCTCCTCTTCTGGGTAAGAGAAAAATGTCCCGAGTTTCTTGGGAGGCTTGATAAGGCCACGGCCATCAGTTTTGCTGAAGGTCTTCACCAGCTTCCGGTTAGCTCCCCATGTATCAAGACTGCTGGATGAGGGAGAAGTAGTAAGTGAGTCTGAGTCGTCCTCTGGCTGCTTTTCGCAGGAGCCGTCAAAGTAGAATTGCTTCTTGTGAACTCCAGAGTAAAGTGCCGATCTGTCATCCAGTATAGCAGAGTTGTCAAGCGAGTGCTCTTCCACACCTACAGGGGACAAAAGCAGCACAATGCATGTCACCGTGCCTAAGTCCCCATGACGCTTCCCTGTAGAGCCTTATTATATTTAAGATACTACCCACTTGAAATGGAAGAAAACTCTTCCCGATATAAGCAGCCCAGAAGGTATTTGTGAGTGGATGAATCTGAGGCAATTCCTTCTGTTTACGAAGGGACAGCTCTGGGATGAGTTAGCAATAGACAGACAACAGCATCCTGTAAGTAAACTCATTGTTATTTTAAGTTTCTCCTTCATCTACAGCTAAGTAAGACCACAGATGCTCTCACTAAGAACCCCTCAAAAGCTGGAACTGGGATCTGTTTCTCATGTTTTTCTTCTGATAGTTGCATATGATGCTCAGCTCCAGTGAGATTACAGTAGGTCAGAAACATACCCAGGTATTAAAAACCAAACAAGTAACTCTCAGGTCCAATTTTCCAATACCCAGTGCTGCTGCAGAAAGCAGTATTTTTTCCAGAAAGTTACGGAGCTGAGCTCCAGGATGAAAATAAAAGTTTTGGGTTTTCGACTGGGGAAGAGGCACCAATTTTAATCACACAGAATTTATTTAAAAAGATACAAAGAAAAAAAAGTAGGTCAAATTGCGAGTGTGCCAATTTCTACAGTGTCCTGGTAATGACAGAAACACTTGGTTTTCACCAAGTACATATTTCATAGAAAGGGAAGATGACTTTTTGCAACTCAAGTACTGGAGATGGGCAAACAGTCAGGTCTCCTTTTTGGAATGCAGAGAAGGGAATAAAATATCTGAAATTGCAATTCCTTTTCATATTTATAATTTAAGAAACTTTTCTCTGGTTTCTCCTTCTGAGCAGAGTACAGGCTGAGGTATTAGATGCAGTAACAAGGAAAGAGTCAAACAAGAGTACACATCCTCAGTCCTGCCTGACAAATTCCACAGCACTCATAGGTATGTATCGGAAACAGACACAGAAATGTGACTGAACTTATTTCTTGCCAAAATAAATTTCTTGCCTGACCCAACTTTGCCTTCATTTTTGACTGCTTCCTCGGTCGTACAGCAGAGCTAAATCTGAACCATCCCCAAAATACCTAAGATTTACTCAACTTGCTCATTCAATAACAGGGGACACATTTCAAGGTGAAAGAAGATTAGTTGCTCTGTACAGGCTTCCTGTCTCACCTTCAGTTATGCTGGCAAAACATATTTGACGTATATTTGCTGAAGCCTAAGATGCTATTTCACCAAGATGAAACTCACTGTGACAGTGAAGAGAAAGTGGATCACATCTGACACACAACTTTCACTCAAAAACTTTTCTGGGGTGGGTCTGTAGATTGGTGTCTGACTCTAACACCGCTTTCACCGGACTGTCCAGCTTGCTCTTTTTCCCCTCAACTTCTCAATTTGGACAGAAAATAAACATTCTCTTGGGACTGAATATGTGCTGATAAATAATTTTAGTCCACTGAGTAAATATGTTTTTAAACAGCTTGTAAAATATGCATTGTGTGTCAACACTGTAACAGATGTTATTTGGAGTAAGTCCATGACACAAAGCCATAATGACACAGATGTAGATGTGATTTGTTTTTAAATGCTGTATAAGAACGGTGCCCAGGAATTAGGAAGTTTCAGTTGTTTAGCTCACTAGGAGCAGACTAACACAAAATACACATTGATTCAGATATTGGCACACTCTAGTGAGTATCAGATCATCCAGATGTACATTTAGTGTCAGAGTCAATAGTAGAAACGTGGGAGAAGGATCTGGGACTAGTGCACTTTTCTTTAAAATCTATAGGAACGTGTAAGAAAAGTTTGGCAAAGTTGTTCTTTGTGAAGAAATTTTTGAGGAGAATTATATGGAATCTTTCTTTTAGGGAACTGCACGGCAGCTTTCACAGAAGGGTATCACAGAATCACAGAACGGTAGGGGTTGGAAGTGACCTCTGGGGATCATCCAGTCCAACCTCCCTGCAAAGCAGGGTCACCTAGAACAGGCTGCAGAGGACCTTGTCCAGGCGGGTCTTGAATATCTCCAGAGAAGGAGAATCCACAGCCTCCCTGGGCAGCCTGTTCCAGTGCTCCGTCACCCTCAGAGGGAAGAAGTTCTTCCTCATGTTCAGATGGAACTTCCTCTGCTTCAGTTTGTGCCCGTTGCCCCTTGTCCTGTTGCTGGGCACCACTGAAAAGAGTCTGGCCCCATCCTCCTGACACACACCCTGAAGATATTTATAGGCATTTAGAAGGTCCCCTGGCAGTCTTCTCTTCTTCAGGCTGAACAAGCCCAGCTCCCTCAGCCTTTCCTCATAAGAGAGATGCTCCAAGGATCCCATTGACCTTCTTGGCAACCAGGGCACACTGCTGGCTCATGGTCAAGTTGTCGTCCACCAGGACACCCAGGTCCCTCTCCACAGGGTTGCTCTCCAGCAGGTCCACCCCTGGCCTGTACTGATGCATGGGGTTGTTCCTCCCCAGGTGCAGGACCCTGCACTTGCCCTTGTTGAACCTCATCAGGTTCCTCTGTGCCCAACTCTCCAGCCTGTCCAGGTCTCGCTGAATGGCAGCACAGCCTTCTGGTGTATCTACCACTTCTCCCAGTTTTGTGTCATCAGCAAACTTGCTGAGGGTACACTCTAACTCTTCATCCAGGTCACTGAGGAATGAGTTGAACAAGACTGGGCTGAGTACTGACCCCTGGGGAACCCCACTAGTTACAGGCCTCCAACTAGACTCAGCGCCGCTGATGACAACCCTCTGAGTTCTGCCATTCAGCCAGTTCTCTATCCACCTCGCTGTCCACTCATCTAGCCCACACTTCCTGAGCATGCCTATGAAGATGCTATAGAAGACCGTGTCAAAAGCCTTGCTGGTTTTCAAACCAAGCCTACTCTCACACTTTTTCAAAGGCTGTTGAATACTGATGAATTTATTGAAATTTTAGTGATGTTACTCAATCAAATTTTACAGCCAACTCATGAAAACCTAGCCATCTAGGATTTCACATTACTCCACATTTATAACACAGACTCAAACAGCAGCAGCAAACAGCTCAAGAAGCAATCCACTCAACCACAGGTAACTTGGAAGGCCAGACAGCAATCCCCAAATCTGACTGCAGTATTGTTTGTGATCTTGCAGAGCTCTCTGACACAGCCAAATGGGGATACAGACCTACATCAGGAGATATGGGGACGGACAGCATTTATGAAGCACTTCTGATTTTCCCCATGAAAACATTGGTGTAGGGAGAATTTACTCAAAGCAAAGTCATAGATACCAACTCCTAACATAGATTTGGCTACTTAAGGGGCCTTCTAGTTACGTAGAAGTTACACAGAAGTAATCCATGCTGTTCTTCAGCAGTAATTGTTTTTGCTACAGAGTTTCCCAAAAGCCAATCCACAAAGAAACTCCAGAGTGCCAGATAAAGTACAAACTCAGAGTTATAGATAATTTATTCAGAAAAGCCTGGAATTAAAAGAGAGAAAACAGCCAGGAGATGGAGAAAGACGAAAGTAGAGTAAATCTTGGAGACAATTGCCAATTTAGTGATTTTTCTGCAGAGCGCAGGGGTGGAAAACTGGAAAACATCCTGGAAGGAACTGGGATACCTAAGTGAAAGACTGAAGGAGAAAAGGAAATAAGGAGGTGAAGTACTGTAAGAGAGGGAATAGAGAGCAAAACAGACACTTAACATGCTGAAGAGAAGGTCTGCTCAAACTGCAGGAAGCAGCCCGTGGGTTGCCTGCTCCTGCCGCTGCTCCCAGCCCTGGGGCCCCCAGCTGACTGCTCCCCGCAGCCCTCCCAGGCCTACAGGGAGGGAGCGGGTAGGACAGGCCTCTCTCGGCTCCTTCTTTCCCCAGAGCAGGGGGAAAACGGCCCTGTTTGCCCCATCTCATAAACCATAGTTTTGCTTCCAAGGTAACCCAAATTTATGCTCATCCTATGAGGTGACGAAACGTTTTCAGACCAAGACAGCTGCCCCGTGCAGAGCTCCAGGCTGGCTGTGCCTTTCATATCAGCCAATAACACCGCCGTCATGGAGGAGAGGAGCAGGCTAGATCACAAACCTGGCAAGAGGTTCCTGCCACATACCAGAATAGATGCACATCATCTCCTTAAATGCACTAGGAAGGGATCGTAATATGGCTTGTCTCACTGCAAAGCTGAGGGGAATCCGCATACGATCCCAGGAAGGCCAGTAATGTAGAGGGGTGCCCACGCTTCCACTGAGGACACAAGCAGGGCCGAGCAGAGGCTCCTGAGGCTCAGTCCCCATTAATCTGAGTGCTCACACGCGGATACAGGTCATCCAGAGTTAATTCTGCACCATGGCGTTCCCAGGGGCTGGACTCTGCTTCCCTTTTCCCCACCCTCCTCCTCCTCCTCCCTTCTCTTCCCCTCTCCCCCCCTCTCTTGGCAGCAGGACTTATCCAGGAACCAAACTGCAAGCAGGCTCCTCCAGAAGCAGGAGTTAATATTACAGGAGGCAGCCACCACCCCACAAGAACGTCTGATAGAGTTTCTGTACTTTTGCCACAGGATGATGCCATGCGGCGCAACTGCACCACCAACCAGCCATACCCTCCCAAAACTGGCGAGAGCTTCACCTGTGTGCCGCCCCAGGCCTCGGAGGGGGGAGCGACACGGCTCTCTGCTTACCTCCTCGCTGAGCCTGTGGGGCAGCTGGCTGGGACTGCCCCTGGTCTTGTTCCCTCCTCAGCATGGGGCATAAATCATAAACCAAGTTCTAATCTCTTAATGAGGGGCTCTCCAGCGCTGCTAGGGGAATACCAGGAGATCAGCAGCAGCTGCACCCTTGACTGTCACTTTCCTCCTTCCACAGCCTCAAAATGCAATTACTGGGCTAACGCATGCACCATCGACCAGGCAGTCTCTCCCACTGTCGCTTAAGAACACTCCAACCTTCCCTCCCCCAGCCCTCCACCTTCTGTCCCCTCTCAACAGAAACATACACTCACACACACAGTTTTAACCGTACGCACGTTGCTTTTTACCTTCTGTGCTGGGTTTTTTCATTTCCTCCACTCTTATGAGTTTCTTCCTGACTCTGCGAGTAGAATTGACCAGCTTGTGCAACCTCTTAAACTTCACCGACTCCTCTGTTTCATCATCGGATTGTTCTCTTGACTAGCAAAGAAACAAAGGGAATATTAAAAAAGAAGTACTTCCACAGCTTGCTCCTTCAAGTCAGGTTAAACCAGCTCATCTGCTGCGCTTTATCAATGCAGCTCTGTAACTGGTGTTATATTTTCAGCCCAGCTCAGACAGAAACATTTAAACTACTGAGGATTTTCTTTTTTTCTGTTTTTTTTTCTTTTTCTGAAAGCGTGACATACCATTTTGATTTCTAAATCTGTGCAACGTAAGATCCTAGGCATTGAAATGCATTCCTGAAAAAAACCTAGGCATTGAAATGCCTTCCTGCCCTTGCCTTTCTTCCCGTGCATTGTGTAATAACTACTTCCACGTCCTCTCTCAGTATGTTTCAGGCAGGGCTCTTTCCCAGGGCTCTTCTTACCACACCAGTTATGCTCCTGTGGTTTGGGTCAGTCACTGGTCTGTCTGGCATCCCAGAACTCGCTGTTTAAACCTGGCTATAAACAGCTTCTCCAAACTGAAGCTCTGTCATTGACGAGTTCTCTCCCCCCCCAGCCTTCCCAGAAAATCAAAAACAGCAGCACAAGAAAGGGACGGGAAGGAAAAGGAAGGAGGAGACCTCATCTGCCTCGCTCGCGAACTGCCACAGCTACAAAACACTCCTTTCCTCCTCCCTGCTCCCTACACTCCTGAAGACTCTCGAGGCTGGAATTAAGATGGACACAGCATTCCTCCAGCACTGACCAAGGGAAAACTCTGACCTTTTCAGATATACAGTGCAGTCCATATTCCCCAGCATCCCGTTTCGTTTTGCATCTGATCCAGTATGCTCAGTTCCAGCTGTTTTCCCTCAAGTATCAAACATTACAGAGACAAAAAAAAATTCCCTTCTCTCCAGCAGCAGTGACACAACAAGCTGAAACAATCCATTCCTTGTGAACGAGAAGACGACTTCGATTTTCGAGCCAGATCCAACCTTCAATGCGCTACTTCCTCTGTTTTAATCAGTTCAGAATGTGGAAGGCGGCTGGGGGAAGGGAAGGGAAGGGAAAGGGAGAGGAGGCCGGCCGGGGTCTCCAGCTCAGCCAGGACAGCCCTGGCACTGCACGCCGCTGCACATTCCTGCACGCGGCACGGGCTCCAGCTGGAGCGTGGTATGGATCGTATACCTTACGGTGTTCTCGCCCACGGTCCCAGCCAATTCGCTGCGTTCCTAATGGCCGGCTCTAAAAACCCTCCTGCAACCTCCTGTCGGCACAGCGATCTGGGTTTCCACAGCGCGCTCATCCTTTTTTCTCCTTCGCCTTAATTAAACTTTAAAAAAAAGAAAAATCCCCAACAAAGGCAAGCCAAAACAAAAAGTAGAAAAAAAAAAAAAAAAAGAAAAAGGCACCCTTCTCTCTCTTCCCAC